GCCTCTTCGACCTGTTTGTTTCCTCTCCACCTATCCTCTCCTCTATCCCTCTTCTATCCGCCTCCCACTCTCTCCCTATTTATTTCGGAACCCCCTTCCCCTCCCCCTTTTCTGATGAAGGGTCTAGGCCCGAAACGTCAGCCTCTCTGCTCCTATGATGCTGCTTGGCCTGCTGTGTTCATCCAGCCCTGCACCTTGTTGTCTCGGATTCTCCAGCATCTGCAGTTCCTACTATCTCTGATACAGGAGCAAAGGCAGCTGAAAAGTAAATGGCCAGTTGCTTCTGTAAATGGCACACACACACAATCCCAAGCCAACTCCATCCCCTTCTCTGTGAAAATGGGAAGTACTGAGTTCAGGGCAATGCTTTCATGCTACTTTCCACCATTTTTACCACCATTGAGGTGTTCTCTCTTCAGGCAAAAATCTGTGCCTAATATCTCCATACACAGTTTGCAGTTATTTTACAAGATTTCTGTAAACTACCTTGGAATGGTTTGTTGTATTAAAGGTGCAATTTAAAGTTGCTGTTATTATTCAGGTGGCGAATATTTGGATTAGGATAGTTAGGTGGCTGTTTTTGACCAGAGCAGATTCACTCAGCTGAAGGACCTTGTTTTGTTACTCCATGACTGGCTTTCAGGATGTAACCAAAACTATTTTTCAGAGGAAATGAATAAAAGCAGAGTTCCTTTTCAAATAAAAACAATCACTACCTTGTGGCAGAATGGTTGACAATAAAAACATTTAAAACTTAGAACGGCTTCTAGTTTGTGGCCATTACCATCCTCCTGAATGCAGCATTATGCATATATTGCATCAGCATATAATCTACATGTGGCTTTATACTCAAAATTCAGGCTGACATAGGAAAATGTACTCATTATAAATGATGGTAAAATAATAATGATTCAAGATATTTTTCTTTGGAAACAGGAAATGATTTTGTGACACTGATACTTCTATACGCAGATTTTACCAAATCACTATGTCAACATATATCAAATATGCCTAGTGTGACATGCCCGATGTTTCGCTGAAAGTTACAGAACTATCTTGAAATGTTTACGTAGCTCAATCTGAAACTGATGTTCCAATCTTAAAACACCCTGAGCAAGTAGCAATTAAACTCAGCATCCATGTGTTTATTTTGTTGCAATTAGACTTTCTAGCCTAAGAGATAGCTCCCATTACAGAACCATGCATTGTATTGAATATTTCTCCCATAATTTTGTATCAGCCAACTTACAGTTCCTTTTAAAAGAGAGGCATTTGTTAAGGAATTTGAACTGAAGATTAAAATTTACACGCCATTTATGATCCATCATTTGATAAAGCAGATATGATTACCTGTATTCTCAGAGAATAGTGGCGTACTCTAGACTATCGTGTAAATGTCGCAACCACGCTATCAAACCACAGATTGCCCACATACATGGGAGATATATTTGTGTTAAGAATTAATTAATTCTTAATACTTTTTCAGGAGAAGTTCCATACCAGAAAAATATTTTTGTGCAGCAATATTAAGCAGCACTTCGGTCCATTTAGGCGATGCCATTTTTGACTGAATAGCTTTTGAGGAAACAACTCTCCGCAGGAAAACAAGAAAATCCCCCAGCTGCAGATCTGCTGCATGCTGTTTTCGTAGAATAGCTGTAGAAGAAAAACAGTGCAAGAAGATTTCAGTCACATAACCCAATATCAAGAAATTACTGAGGCATATTCCTGGTATGGAAATCAGATTTATTTGATGTGGGGGAAGGGCGCAAAAACTAGATTGCAGTGAATAACTCTACTGGAGGATTATTAGTAAGATTGGCAATGAGACTGTATTGTGCTCTGATTTTTATGAATTAATTTAATTACTTTAATTAATATTCCCCTAAACTTGAACATTACGAAGTTAAATGTTAAAAATTCATAAGAATATATCTGAAATATCCGCATCACATTTGTAAACATTGCTAGTACACAGTCACAAGTCATTTGTGTTGTGACTGAAGGGAAGAGAAATTAAACACTACAGATGCCAAGTTTACCCAGAATGCACAGTATCAATCAAAACTATTTTACTCGTTTCAAGGAATCTGGAAAAGCCACACCTCAGCAATTTTCTTTATGCTTACTCACAAGCAAGCAAGAACCCCTCAGAACTGATAGGTACAGAAAAGAAGTGGGTGGCAGACCGCAATCCTACAGTCAATTAGTAGCAACTGGGAATTTGTACATTTTACGCACTATCCATACTTTGAGTTTTACAAATTCCTGATATAATCTTAAATAAATATAAGAGAGTTGGCTGACGTGGTGAAAATCAAGATCTTAGTTCATTTAACGACAACGTCTTAAAGCCCCACTGGAGTAGAAAAATCACAAAATAAGATTACGTCTAATTCCAGTGACGAAGCTGGTGCACACTTTTGTTTTGGAGTTTCTCATGCTTAAACCAGAGGTGCAAATCCTGCAGCTACCAACACACCCTCAATTTTAAATACAGATGCAAAACTATCTTTTTCAATTATTGTTCCAATACCTTTCATATCTTTGGTATCCTCAGTCTCACCAATCTCAGCTAATTTGTTTTCTCCGTCCCCATGCAAAGGGGTTAGCTGCACTCCAGCCTGAGATATTAAGCTTTTCAGCTGACTGCAGAGCAGGTCTAAAAGAGACTGAACCACCTTAGGGCTCAGCTTGTCTGCATATGTTCTATGGAATAAGAATAAAATACACATAAAAGTATTGATATCTGAATTGCTGAATAAGATGATGTGTAGTCTTAAAATGGTAACAGCATTGTTCAGTGCAATAATTTACATATCATCAGAACAGTGAGTTTAATACCCATTCAGTGCTGAATTTTCAGAGTTTGATACAACAAGTTGATTTCAGCATGTGGGAAGGTAAGAAAAGGAACGAGTCGAAAAAGTCCCAAGGTGGTATCTAGTTGCAAAGTGCACATACAGGTGTTGATAGTCAAATTGAATTCAATGTCTCAAAGGTTTCTGAGGCTCTCAGCATTGACTGCTGAAGATCAGACTTGAAGAAAATCCATTTGGACAGAGTACTGGATAGCAGGTAGCACCAGTGAATTTGTATTTTATGACAAAGCAGGATTCAATTTTTACTTTTATTAAACCTATTTACCTAATCAACCTGTTCAGAGTAGTTATTACACATGTCAAGAGCAGGTGGGATTTTAACCTGAGCTTTCTGGTTCAAAGGTAGGGATACAATGCAGCACAAGAATTCTATATGAAATGCAAAAAAGTGTGACCTGGAGATTTTGTTTCTGCAAATAAATCACAAAGACCTAATCTTGAGTGATAAATTATAGAAAACACGAAGATAAAATAGCAAAAACAGAAATCACTGGCGAAACTCAGCAGGTCTGACAGCATCAACAAAGGATATTTATATTGAGGAAGAGGTGGATTGGCATGAGGATGAGGGAAGATGTTAGTGCACATGAAAGAGGGAGCGAGTGGGGGGTGCATGCGAGGGCAGGTGCTGGCAGGTTTGAGGTGCACGAGGGCAGGCGCGTGTGCCAGAGTTAGGGAGAGGGAGCAAGGGTGAGCCGGACAGGGTGAGATAGAGCTGGGATAGACTGGGTTTACTTTTCCCCGGAGCAGAGGAGGTTGACGTGGGATCTTATTGAGATACACAAAATTTTGAAAAGCACTGACGAAGTAGATCATGCAAATCTTTTCCCCTTGGCAGGCGTGTTTAAGACTAGACAGCATAAGTTTAGGGTGAGGAGGAAGTGGTTTACAGGAGATCCGAGAGAAAGAAAATTTCACCCAGAGTGTGATGCAAGTATGGAACAGCTGCCTGACGGGGTGGTGGAAGCAGGTACTCTTGTAACATTTAAGAAACAGCTGAATAAGTACTCGAAGTGCTAGGGCATCCTGTTATGTACAAAGTACAGGTAATTGGATTAACGTATTTTGGTGTTTTTTGATCCATATAGATATGGTGGGCCGAAGGGCCTGTTTAATTGCTGTACGACTATGATTCTAAATGTCCAAAAGAAAGGTTCAAACATTTGAAAGTTAGTTTGAAAGAGTAGAAACTGCAGAATATAGACAAATGAGCATGTGGCTGAAAAGATGATGTGAAGCAGAGGGTTTCACATTCATGGGGCCTTGGGACCAGTTTTTTCGTTTGGGGGTGGGGGGGGAAGAAGGTGGTGGGTGGGGAAGAGATCCTAAACAAAATCGGGTTTTACCTGGACAGGACCAGGACTGGGACTGATGTCCCTGTGGAGGGGTACTTTGTAGAGTTGTTGGGAAGGATATAAACTCATGTGGCAGGGGATGGAAAGCAGAGTAGGAGGGCAGGTGATGCAGAAATTGAGGGGGAACGGGGGAGGTGGTCTGAAATGCATGTGTTTCAATGTGAGAAGAATAATAGGCAAGGCAGATGAACTTAAGAGTTATGGTTAGTACTTGGGACTATGACATTATTCTGATTACAGAGACTTGGCTGAAAGACAAACAGGACTGGCAGCTGAATTTCCCAGGATTAAGATGTTTCAGGCGTGATAGAAAAGGATGTAAAAAGGGTGGGGAGTTGCATTACTGCTAAAGGAGTATCTCAAGCTGTATTGAAAGTGAGGCAATATGGGTAGAACTCAGAAATAGGAAAGGTGAAATCACAATGCTAGGAGTACACTCCAGGCCTCTGAACAGCCAGTGACAGATTTTGGAAAGATGTGAAAACAGCAGAATTGTTGTGGTGGATAATTTTAACTTCCCCTATATTGACTGGGACTCACTTTGTACTAGGGGCTTGGATAGGGCAGAATTTTAAGGACCATTCAGGAGGGTTCCTTGACACTATGTAAATAGACCAGACATGGAAGGGGATATAGCAGCAACACAGTGCGGAGCTGGAGGAACACAACAGGCCAAGATGCATCAGAGGAGCAGGAAAGTTGACGTTTTGGGTCAGGACACTTCTTCAGAAATAGGGAGGGAGAAGGGAGCTGGGAATTAAAGAGAGAGAGGAGGGGTGGTGCTGTGGAAAGGTAGGTGGGGTGGTGATAGGTTGGATGCAGGTAGGAGGCAGTGGGGATTGGTCAACGGGGTAGGTGGGGAAAACGATTAACAGGCTGTGTCAGGTCAAGGAGACGGGGATGAGAGGGAGGTTTGCACGTGGGATGAGGCCGGGGATGGGGTGATTTTAAAACTGGTCAGTTCTATGTTAAGGCCATAAGGCTGTAGGCTCCCAGGCGGAATATGAGATGTTGCACCCCCAGTTTGTGTGTGGTGTCACTGTGGCAATGGAGGAGGCCCAGGATGGACATGTCATCAAGACAGTGGGAGGGGGAGATAAAATGGTTGGCGACTAGAAGGTATTGTCATTTGTCGCATACAGAGTATGCTCCACGAAATGGTCCCAGAGTCTGCGGTTGGTCTCACCAATGTACAGGAGGCCACACTGGGAGCAACGGATACAGTAGACCAGGTTGGATGATGTATAGGTGAACCCCTGTCAGATATGACAAGTTTGCTTTGGGCCTTGGATGGAGGTGAAGGGGGAGGTGTAGGGGCAGGACACGGTTTTGGGAAATGACCTCGGCTAGGTGAGTGAAGTTTCAGTGGGGGAGCATTTTGGGAGTAGTGACCAAAATACCGTGAGTTTTAAGATACTCTTGGACAGGTCCTCAGGTGAAGGTGTTAAACTGGGGAAAGGTGAACAACAACATTATCAGGCAAGAACTGGAGAATTTTGATTGGAGGCAGCTTTTTGAGGATAAATCCATATTGGACACGTGGGAGTATTTCAAATGGCAGTTGATAACCATTCAGGAGCAGCATGTTCCTGTGAGAATGAAGGACAGGTGCGGCAAGTTACGTGAACCTTGGATGACCAAGGATATTATGACCTTGGTCAAAAAGAAAAAGGAAGCATCTAGGAGCAGAGGATGACGAAACCCTTGGAGTTAAAAAAAGGAAAGTAGCAAAGAACGAGTAATTAGAAGGGTGAAAAGGAGTCATGAAAAGTTGTTAGAAAACAGGATTCAGGAGAAGCTCAAGGCTTTTTATGCATATATAAAAAGTAAGAGGGCAGCCAGAGAAAGGGTTGGTCCACTCAAGGACAAGAGCAGCAGAGTGGCTCAGTGGTTAGCACTGCTGCTTCAAGGCGCCAGGGACCCGGGTTCAATTCCACTCTCAGGTGACTGTCTGTGCGGAGACTGTTCCTCCCACAGTCCAAAGATGTGCAGATTAGGTGGATTAGCCATGTTAAATTGCTATAATGTTCAGGGATGTGCAGGCTAGGTGGGTTAGCCATGGGAAATGCAGGGATAGGGTAGGTGGATGGGTCTGGGTGGAATGCTCTTTAGAGGCTTGGTCGGTGTGGACCTGTTCAGCTGAATGGCCTGTTTCCACACAGTAGGGGTTCTATGGTTCCATGGAGGGAACCTGTATGTGGAGCCAGAAGAGGTAGGTGAGGTCCTAAATGAATAATTTTGCGTTGATATTCAACAAAGAGAAGAAATTGGTGGAAGATGATGTCAGGGAAGGGAGTGTCAAATTGCTAAGACAAGTTGCTATTAAAAAGAAAAAGGTGATATGCATCTTACAAAGAAAGAAGGTAGCTCGGTCCCCAGGTCTTGATGGGATCTATCCCAGAATATTGAGGGAGGCAAGAGAACAAATTTCTGGACAGACATCTTTGTATCCTCTTTGGCCACAGGGGAGGTTCCAGAGGACTGGAGAATAACCAATGTTGTCCCATTGTTTAAGGGTAGCAGAGATAATCCAGAAAATGACAGGCCTGTGAGCCTCACATTGGTGGTAGGGAAATTACTAGAAAAGATTCTCAGGGACAAGATCTATACGCATTTAGAAGCAAATAGACTTATTAGCAATGGACAGCATGGTTTTGTGCTGAGGACATGGTGCTTCACTAACTTGATCGAGTTTTTTGAGGAAATGACAAACATGATTGATGAAGGAAAAGCGGTTTACGTTGTCTCCATGGACTTCAGTAAATGTTTTGACAAGGTCCCTCATGGCAGATTGGTACAAAAGGTGAAGTCACATGTTACTGGGGTTAGCTGGTAAGATGAATACAGGACTGCTTCGTCATAGGAGACAGAGGGCAGCGGCGGGAAGATGCTTTTCAGAATGGAGGGTCGTGACTATCGGTTTTCCACAAGGATCTGTCCTGGGACCTCTGCTGCTCATGGTTATAAATGATTTGGAGGAAAACGTGGCTCGTCTAATTAGTAAGTTTGCAGACAATACAAAAATTGGAAGAGGTGGGGATAGTGAGGAGGACTGTCAGAGGGATACAGCAGGATATAGATCAGTTGGAGGCATGGGCAGAAAAATGGCAGATGGAGTTTAATCCAGAAAAATGAGAGGTGATGCATTTCGGAAATTACACAGTGAATGGCAGAACACTTAGGAGTATTGATACACACAGTGATCTGGGCGTGCAGATAGAGAAGGCAGTAAAAAAGGCCTTTGGCATGTTTGCCTTCATTAGAAGGGGCATTGAATGCAAGGATAGACAAATTATGCTGTAGCTTTATTGAACTTTACTTAGGCCAACTTGGACAATTGCATACAGTTCTGGTCACAACACTACGAGGAGGATGTGGGGTGCTTTGGAGACGGTGCAGAAAAGGTTTAACAAGATGCTGCCTGGTGTTGTGATTTTAGCTGTTTGAAGAAAGTTTTCACTGGGATGCAGCACGTTAAGGAGCGACCTGATAAAGTTTACAAGATTTTGAATGGTATGGATCGAGTGGGAAGAATGAGGCTTTTTCCCAGGGTGCAGGAGTCAATTACTAGGGGTCACAGATTCAAGGTGGAAGAGGTGATGGTTAAAAGAGATGTGTGAGGTAAGTTTTTCACGCAAAGGGCACTGAGTACTTGCAATGTGCTGCTAGAGGAAGTGGTAGAAGCAGACACAATAGCACTATTCAAGAAGCACCTGGACGAATACATGAATAGGAAGGGAATAGCCGGATATGGATCCTGTAAGTGAAGCCCGTTTCAGTAAGGAAAGGCAAAACGTGTCAGCACAGGCTTGGAGGGCTGCTCGGCCTGTTCCTGTGCTGTATTGTTCTTTGTTTCTGTTTTACAAATTGAGAGAATTTCAGTAGGAATGCTGTGGTTTTAATTAACTTGAAAAGCGAGCCATTTGACAGCAGTTCACATCTGCATTAATCAATACACTCATTACTTAAGTGACAGAAAATTTAAACTCTTGCTTACCCTGTGGTGATGGCTAGAATCTGAAGCAATCTAGTGCTTGCAACCTTCAAAGCTGTGCTGAGCTGTGAAACACCTGGTTTATGTATCAATTGCAGTGGCTGTCCCAGCATTGTGTCAGTGCCACACAACTGGGATAGTACATTCAACAAACCGCTAGAGATTGCCAAAGAGACATCCACCGGCTGGTAACGCACACTAAGTGCGAATACCGTGACCAGCAAGAGGCGTTGCTGGGCTCCTGTATCAGGGATAAAAACAATATTTATCTGTAACAATACAGAGTTTAATAAAGAGGATGATAAACAACAACATTGCATTTTACATGTTTCAAAAACAGTTTGCATTGTCATCCACTATAAAAATAATATAAAGCACTTAAATAATATAAAACACTCACATGGCAAGTCAAGATCAAGAACTGGTTTCAGGTGACATGAACTTGGCAGACAGGGTTTAGATAAATCGAACCAAATAATACATAACTATTTCAGTAGCTAATTTAAAAATGTAAACAGTATGTGCAAAGCAATCAACTAACTGACTTAGAGATAACAGTGCAGAGCTGGAGGAACACAGCAGGCCAGGCAGCATCAGAGGAGCAGGAAAGTTGACGTTTCGGGTCGGGACTCTTCTTCAGAAGGGAGCTCAGAAATAAAGAGAGAGAGGAGGAGTAGGACTGGGGAAGGGGAGGTGGGATGGTGATCGGTGGATGCAAGTAGGAAATGGTGGGGATTGGTCAGTGAGGTGGGAGGGGCAGATAGGTGTGAGAGAAGATGGACAGATTGTGTCAGGCAAGGGAGTGGGGATGAGGGGGAAGGGTCATGGAATAAGGTGGGGAGATTTTGAAACTGGTAAAATCCACATTTAGGCCATTGGGCTGTAGGTTCCCAAAGCGGAATATGAGGTGCTGCTCCTCCAGTTTGCGGGTGGCGTCATTGTGACACTGGAGGCGGCCCGGGGGAGTTGAACTGGTTCGCAGCCAGCAGGTGTTGTCGTCGGTCGCGAACAGAGCACAGGTGCTCTACAGAACGGTCTCCGAGCCCCCACTTGGTCTCACCGATGTAGACGCGGCCACATCAGGAGCAGTGGATGCAACAGACCACGTTGACGAATGTATAGGTGAACCCTTGTCTAATGTGGAAGGTTTGTTTGGTGTCTAGAATGGAGGTGAGGGGGGAGGTGTAGGGGCAGGTGTCGCACTTCCTGCGGTTGCAGGGAAAGGTGCTGGGGGTGGCGGGGTAGTGGGGTCTGTGGTGCGGACGAGGTAGTAGTGGAGAGAGAGGTCCTTACGAAAGGCAGATGGGGTGGGGAGGGAAATAAATCTTTGATTGTGGGGTCAGATTGTAGGTGGCAGAAGTGGCGGAGAATGATGCGTTGGATATGGAGGTTGGTGGGGTGATATGTGAAGACAAGGGGAATTCTGTCTTTGTTTTTATTGGAGGGAGGGGATGTGAGGGTAGAGATGTGGGAAACGCAAGAGATGTGGGTTGAAGGCATTTTCAACCACCGAAGGTGGGGTGGGGTAAGTTGCAGTCCTTGAAATAGGAGGACATTTGGGATGTGCGGTAGTGGAACACCCCCTCTTGGGAGCAGACACGGCAGAGGTGGAGGAGTTGGAAGTAGGGAATTGCATTCTTGCAGAAAGGTGGGTGGGAGGTGGTGTAGTCTAGGCTGCTATGGGAGTCGGTGGGCTTGAAATTGGTGACCGCCTCGAAACCGTCATCTGAGATGGAGACAGAGGTGTCCAGGAAGGAGCGAGAGGTATCAGAGATGGTCCAGGTCAATTTGAGGTTGGGGTGAAAGGTGTTAGTAAAGTTGATTAATTGTTCAAGCTCCTTGTGGGAGCACGAGGCAGCGCCGATACAGTCAATGTAATGGAGGAAGAGGTTGGGTATAGAATCATAGAATCCCTACAGTGTGGAAACAGGCCCTTTGGCCCAAAAAGTCCACACCGACCCTTGGAGCATCCCACCCAGACCCATCCCCCCAGAACCCACACACCCCTGAACACTATGGGCAATTTAGCATGGCCAGTGGAAAAGGGACTGTTCCACGTATCCAATGAAGAGACAGGCATAGCTTGGGTCCATGCGGGTGCCCACTGCCACCCCCTTAGTCTGTAGGAAGTGGGAAGCCAGTTCACCCGCATGTACAGTATCTATAATGAATCCCATGTAGTGAGCACAACAGACATTACATTGGACAAACAGGGAGGAAACTGACAACCAGGATACACAAGTACCAGCTGGCAGCAAAAAGACATGACCGGTATTCACTTGTCTCGATACACACAGACAAAGAAGGCCATTAGTTCAACTGGGACATACTGGGGCAAACAAACAACAGAGATGCAAGGGAATTTCTGGAGGCCTGGTTCTCAACACGGGACTCCATTAACAAACACATAGAAACAGACCCTGTAACACATACTGATGCTGAAAAACAGAACCTGAAGCGACAAGACACACCACACCAGAGGATCCTATAAATTCGTAACTGATCAGAACACCAATGCTGCAATTAGAGGTTCCACTGATGATGTTGCCTGGACTGGTAACGAAACGTCTGCACACCACGGAATAATCGGCTCAGCGGGCAAACAAACAACTGCATCCACAACCCGAGCTACAAATTTTTGCTAAGATCTAATTTAAAAAATTTAAGTCTACAAGGGGTCAAATATGGATCAGAGTGAGAAGAATGTGTGGAGTTGATGCCATGAGCTACCCAAAATTGAGGAAAGAAGGCTGGTCAATTAGGAGTAGACTGTACTAAAAGCAAGAATATTAAACAGCAGATTGTAGAACGCAACAAAACATTTCCTTGTGAAGAGTGTGGTTGGGGCCCTCGGCAATATCATGGAGGAGGCAAACAAAGTTTTATATGAACAAGGCAAAAGCAGGCACAAGAACTACCAGTTTTTCCAGAGTGAATTTCAGAAATTGAAGAGGGAAAGGAAGAGATTGTGAGGTACACCAGGTGATGAGATGGTGGAAACAATCTGGCATACAGGAGGCTGACGTCAGGTCACCTGATGAAGGGGCAGCACTTCGAAAGCTTATGATTTCAAATAAACCTATTGCACTATAACCTTGGTTAGACAAAAATACTGCAGTTGCAGTCCATGGTAGATGCAGGAGGCTGGAAAAACACAGCAAGCCAGGCAGCATCTGGAGAAGTCAATGTTTCAGGTATTACACTTCCTCAGGACACAAGAACTGAAAGTGCTAAATGAGTACCTTGCACTTTCTTTTATCAAGAATATGCTGCCAAAGTCATAATCAACATTGTTTTTTGAACAAAGGCATGTAAGGATGAACTCAGCAACTACAGACAAGCCAAGTTTAACCTAAGTGGTGGAAAAACTTATGTACATGATATTCAGGGACAAAACTAGCAGTGACTTCCGCACATGTGGATTAATCAAGGCAACCCAAGATAAAAATAATTTGCCTTGAACAAATTTAACTACCTTGATTCAAGTATCTTTTAAAAAGATAAAGATATTTATGAGGATAATGAGGTAGCTATGACGTTCATGGTGCCACATAATAGGCAAGCAAGTTGGAGCCCATTGAACGAGGAGGGCAGCAGTATGAATACTAAGTTGGCTGAGTGGCACGAAACAGTAGCAGTCAACAATTGTTCTTCAAACTGGAAGAAGGTCTATGGTGAGTTTCCCCAAGGGTTGTTCTTAGAGTCTTCTTGATATGTATGGATATTAATGACTTAGACTTGCACGTACAGGGCAAAATTCCAATATTGGAACTTAATATTCAATCTTGGAACTTGAACATCGAAGAGGACAGAGATAGACCAGAGAACAAAAACAGGCTGATACAGTGGCTGTACGTGTGGCAGATGAAATTTAATGCAAAGTTGTGGTGAATTGATGCAGGTTTGTAAGAAGGATTAGGAGAAGCAATATAAACAAAGGTTGTAAATTCTGAAGGTGGTGCAAGGACAGCAACATCAGGCGTATACATGCACAAATGATTGTAGGTGGCAAGACTGATTGTTAAAGTGACTTAAAATGCAAACATATTTATGAATTGTGTAAATACAGTTCAAAAGCAAAGCACTTGAAATTAATTCACAGGTTTGACCTCAGGGTCCAGTATCTTCAGTTCATCGCACGTTCGGAAGGATGTGAGGGTTTTAGAAAGGGTGCCAGAAAGATTTGTGAAAATGTTTCCAAAGATGAGGGATTGCTGTTGTGAGGACAGATCAATGTAACCAGGGCTGTCTTCCTTGGAGAAGAAGTGCATTTGAAATAAATTTGCCTCAGGCACAGGAAACAATGGTTGTAGATTGAGTCAAGAGACAGAAATAGTTCTAACTATTGTGGGAAGTACCACAACCACAGGACACCAACTGAAGATGCCTAGCAAAAGAACCAAAAATAGCATTTTCAGACAGCAAGTTGTTATGAACAACAATGCTCAATGACTGAGGAGTATGATGGAGATAGGTTCAATCACAGCTTTCAAAAGGAAACTGATAAGCATCTGAAGGGTGAAAACTTTGTAGTGCAACATGGAAAGGGTAGGAGAGTGTAACCAGCAGTGTTGCTCTTACAGAGCTGGCACAGATAGGCTTAGCCTCCTGTGCTATACCTTTCAATGTAAAATGATAAATTGTGGCCTCAACATAAAGTTCACCAACTTCAAAATCTCCCCACCCCCATGTCCAGCTCCCTCTCTCCTCCTGCCTCCTTGACCTAACACAACCTGTCCATCTTCCTTCTCAATTATCCGCTCCCACTCTTCCCACTGACCAATCACGACAACTCCCTACCTGCTTTCACCTATCACCATCCAACCCACCTTCCCCCAACCTCACTCCACCCCCATTTATTTCCAAGCTCCCTTACTCCTCCCCAATCCTAATGAAGGATCCAGACCCAAAACTTCGACTTTCCTGGTCCTCAGATGCTGTCTGACCTGCTGTGCTCCTCCAGCTCCACATTTTATCGTCAATGATGTGCAACTGGTCATTTTTGAACATAGCTCCTAACAGAAGAGTGTTGAGATGCTGAACAAGATTTTACTGCAAATGAGTATTATTGTTAAATGAGGACCATATGCCAAAATTATTTATATGATTGTATTTAGTTTTGACTTTATATTTTTCTGAACATAATGGCACCATTAAAGAAAGGATGAAAATGAAAGGAGGATGCCAGCCAACCATTTCAAAACAGAAGTCCATAACTACCACCCTCTCAAATTTGCCAGTTTTTATGCAACATTTCAAATCCTTACCAATGTGGTGCTTATTTGCTTGCAAAGCCCGCTCTAGGGTAGCGGATAGTTGTTGGTAGATCTTGTGAACAGCACTCTGGATATCCATCTGAATGTTTCTCTTGGCAGCTCTAATACCATCCTGAATGATCAAATTACCAAGTTGTGTCAAGTTTGATTGACCACCTCAACAGACTTCATTGCAATGTCATTAATACTTACAGATGGAACTTAAAGGAAGACAGTAACTTATGTAACACTTTTCACAACCCCAGGATGCCTATAACACTTGACAACCAGTTCAGTACTTCTTGAAGTGCAATCACTGTTGTTTCGATTTGGGGAAGGTGACAGCGAATTTGCAATAAAGCATAATGAGAATTGAAGAGGTATTCCATCATTCTCAATGTTAAGGGAGGAACACTGGTCAGTACATCAGGAAAAGGTTACCTGCATTTCTTCAAAATTAATTATACAGGGTCTTTCAGGTCAATCCAAAAGGGTTCAAACATATCCACTGAAAGATAGTAATCCAAGTGTGTAGGTCTGAGAGGGGCTCCAACCTGCAATCTCCAGGTGCACAAGGTAACAATCACCATCAACAACTTTGATTAGCCTTAATTTTACTATGTGTTTTAAAAACATTAAAGAAATGTTTTTTAAAAACACCTACACACTTTGTCCTTTTTTACCGGTTTTATTTTCTTGATTTATAACAGAAACTGCCAGATGCAAATTTGTAAAACAATAACTACATCATACCTCCTGTGGAGTTACTGCACTGCCAGTATTTGTAACAATGAATTACAACAGGTAGTATTCAAAGTGTGTAGAGAAACGGAATTGATGAATCGAAATCGAAAAGTAAGGACAGAATAAATGTCTTTATTTTTGGATCTCAAATCTGTGTTCCCTGACCCAATTATCCACCGGCCTGCAAGCTCTCCAAACTGAAAGCAATAACTGCCTCGTGTCAAAACCTGGAAGATGAACGGATATTGGCCTGGGTTGAGAAATATGGTCGGGGACGGATCAGGTGGGTACCCTCATTGGCTCCTAAACACCCACTGTTCCTTTATTTGCTGTGTACAAAATGGCTTTTTGTAGAATTCACTCATTTTTATTTAAGTCAGCCATAACTTAATGGTACCACTGCAGTCTTGGAGTTTGAATCCCTTTCAAAAGATTTCTGTTTTTGAGTTTTCAAAACATTCAGCGATTTTCAGCCATCAGGATTTTTAAAATACATCCGTAGATTTCATATGAGGAGAACATGACTCAATCACTCTGGTTGCCATTCTAATGTATTGCCTGCCCATTAATAATTTTTGAAGACCAATTTCAATTTGTTCCCAGATTGTACTGGAAATTCTCAACAGGTCAGGTTTTTACTTCAAGGAATGGAAATTTGAAGGACACGTCCAAATTTGTCCCATTTGGAGAAAAGATCACAGAATACATACATCACCTCCATAGATTTCACAAACTCTTCCATAAATATGCTTTATTTCAGGAAAATGTGAATTGACAAATATAGCAATAGTCTGTAAAATCTGATTTAGAATAATTAATTTCAAGAAGGAGGAAGTAATTAAAACATCAATTTATGGAGCACTTCTCATATAGATTTAAGTTGAAAATGCAACAGATATACATATATAACTATTGTGTTAATCATTAACATAAAATTCAGAACATGAGAAAATGGACTATTTGCAACTGGTTAATATTATCTAAATTTTTATGTTGCGTTTCCATAGATTACTTTTTAAGACAGGACTTTTAGGATAAAGAAACTGGAGTTTTATTATAAATCAACAGATTCTGTATTTCAGATTAACTTCAAATCACTCCCTAATCTGATGATTACATTTGGTGAGTACCTGATAGTGATGCAGTTGGACACTTTCACCTTTGATCCCTGCATTTCCCACTGTGTCCAGGCCAAAGCATCCTGCCAGGAATTGCAGCCTGACTGATGTGAGTAAAGAAGCGGAGTGGAACCATGAAGTCAGAGAATTACTTCCAGTCAACTGGCTGCCCTTTTCCTCCATTCCAGAAAGCAACACCAAGATTTGATGAAGTGCTGCCAGACGCAGCTAAAATACATCAAACAAAAAGTATTATTGCAGAGCTTCATACTTAATTGTGCATAAGCAAAGAATTCATCTGAACTAAAGCGTGTTAAAATTGACTTTTTGATCAGAAGAATTTTTCCATAATTAAAACGCAGACATTTCACCCAACAAGTTCGTGGTACCATTTCCCTCCACGAAAGCAACTACCTGTAATCAAATGTGCCCACGTTATCATGTACTCCTTCACCTCTGTCTATCCAATCTAGCAGAATTTTAACAGATTTAAGCAGTTGGAAGGCCTTATGGTAGGGCCCTGGGTAGTTTTGTTGAACACAGGGACCTTGGGGTTCAGGTACATTGTTCTTTGAAAGTTGCGTCACAGGTAGACGGGGTGGTTAAGACGACATTTAGCACACTTGCCTTCATTGCTCAAACCATTGAGTATAGAACTTTGGATGTCATGTTGAGGTTGTACAGGACATTGGTGAGGCCACTTTTGGAGTACTGTGTACAGTTCTGGTCGCCCTGTTATAAGGAGGATATTATTAGGCTGGAAACAATTCAGAAGAGATTTACAAGGATGTTGCTGAAATGGTGCATTTGAGTTATAAGGAGAGGCTGGATAGGCTGGGACTTTTATTTCCCCACTGGAGTGTAAGAGGTTGAGGGGTGGCCTTATTGACGATTATAAAGTCAGGAGGGACATAGATAAGATAAGGGTATTTTGCCACAGGTGGAGTCGTCAAAACTAGGGGGCATATTTTGAAGGTGACAGGAGAAAGATTTAAAAATGACATGAGGGTCAACATTTTTTGTTTTACAGAGAGTGGTTCATGTGGGAAATGAGCTGCCAGAGAAAGTAGTAGATACAGATACAGTTACAATGATTAAAAGACATTTGGACAGGTACATGAATACCAAAGGGTTAGAGGGATATGGGCCAAAAGCAGACTGCAAGACTACTTTAGTTTGGGAACATGGACTGGTTAGACCAAAGGGTCTGTTTCCATGCTGTGTGACTATGACTCTAAATGAACAAGCAATACACATGCCTGTACCAAAACCTGTCAAAAGCTATACGACTGCAATTCTGTTCAATGTTATCTATAACTTATCAAGAATATCCAAGAATATCTAGAAATATCTCAGAATAATTAGGAATAAAATATCTAACAATGGAATATTCATCATCATTGAAAGCAATGTTTACCTTAAAGCCCTGAACAATTATGATTGAGACCTATTATCTGAGGTTTTCCAACACATCTGAAATTTCAGTGAAAAATTATTTGGATTTCTCCTGCTATACAAATACAGATACCAGACCACTGTTTACATTCCCTGTCCATGTCACTTATCTTCATTCCTTAATTTTTTGGTCAATATGAACACTTATCAAGTCAAATTAAGTGGGATGTTTCATACTGCTTTCAGGTAGACAGGGCAGTGAAGGCGGCTTTTGGCACACTGGCCTTCATCAGTCAGGGAACCGAGTACAGAAGTTGCTAAGTTATATTGCTGTTGTACAGGATGTTGGTGAGGCTGGCGTTGGAGTATTGTGTTCAGTTTCGGACACCGCGCTATAGGAAGGATATTATTAAACTGGAAAGTGCACAGCAGAAATTTACAAGGATGTTGTTAGGACTCAAGGGACAGAGTTATAGGGAGAAGTTGGACAAGCTAGGACTTTTTCTTTAGAGCACAGCAGAGTGAGTGGGGGGGATCTTATACAAGTGTATAAGACCATGAGAGGCATGGTTAGGGTGAATGCACTCAGTCTTTTTCCCAGGGGTGGGGAGTTGAGGTCTAGAGTGCATCAGTTTAAGCTAAGAGGGGAAAGAATACATGGGAACCTAAAATACAACTTTTTTTTTGTTTTTTTTTATACACACAGGGTGGTAGGCATATGGAATGAGCTACCAGCGTAAGTGATTGGAGTGGGTAAATCAACAACATTTAAAATGAATTTGGATGAATACACGGACAAGAAAGAAGGATATGCATCAAGTGCAGGGAAATGTGGTTAGCGTGGATGGACAGCACAGACCAACTTGGGCCGAAGGGCTTGTCTCTATGCTGAAGGACTCTAACTTAATCATAAGTGCTGATTAAGCAGGTTGCCTTATCCTGGATGGTGTCAAGTTTCTTCAATGTTCAATAACTACACTCATCCAAGCAAGTGGAAGATATTCCATCACACATGCTAAATGGTTAACTGAAATGGGAATGTATATTAACAACTGTAGTGTTTGATCCCATTCCTAACTCTGAAGCGGTATTGTCCACGTGCAGCAGGACTAGATCAAAATTCAGGTTTACACTGCTAAGTGACAAAAAACATTCAAGCTAGTGCCAGGCAATGACCATGACAATCAAAGCAAGAGTTTAACCACCTCTCCTTGACATTCAATGGCATTCCTAAATCCTCCACCATCAACATTCTTGCATTAGCATTGATCAAAAACTCAACTGGGTGAACCACAGAACTGTGCCTACAGGTCAGAGGCCGAGGACTCTGCTGGTACAAATTGCCTAATGCTGATCCAACCCAACCAAACCAGGAACAGCTATCTCCCCACCCTCCCACCACCCCAAACTCACGTGGCCCACATCAAGCCACCCAGAAACTCCCTACCTGATGACCCATTTGGGTCAAGGCAAGGAGGGTTATAGAGGTGGGAAGTCTTTAATAAGTACCTGGATGAGCACTTGAAATGTCATAACTATGTCAAGGCTATAGGCCAAGTGTTGGAAAGTGGGATGAGTGCAGACTTGATGAGTTGAAAGGGAGCTTCTGTGCTGTATGACTTTATGTCTCTATGACTTGTCCAGCTACCTCTCTCACTATACAAGCCCAGTCTACTCAATTTCTCCACTGTGGTCCGCCTCCAATGCCAGTATATCTGGAGGGACTGTTTTATGACAAGAGGCTGAGGAGGTTGGACCTGTCCTTGCTGGAATATAGAAGAATTAGAGATGACCTTACTGAAAGATTCTTAGAGAACTTGACAGTACATGTGGAAAGGAAAGAAATAGTAGATGCATTGTTGGTCATCTTCCGACTGTGGCTTTAAGAGGTGTGTTTTGTCCTGGTTTCTTTGAGAGAAAGAGATTGGGGGTCAGAGGCTGAACAATCCAGGAGAAGATAAACAACTTGTGAAGCCTTGGGTATTTTTTTTAAACAAGTTGGAACGATAGAAGCAGCCTGAATGCGTATGTTCAAGCTCCCACTCTCAGAACTAGGATTTTTAGTTTAGCTTTCGGCAGTTGCTGTTGGGGTCTTGAAGAAGTGAAAGCTATTTTTCTACCTCTTCGTTACAGCAAAAAGCTGGAGGTTCTCTGCCTGCTACAGGAGTTGCATGCGAGACAATCTGTTTCTGAATAAAAAACGAAAGAACTGAGGACGCTGTAAATCAGGAACAAAAACAAAGTTGCTGGAAAAGTTCAGCAGGTATGGCAGCATCTGTGAGGGAAAAAAAAGAGTTAACGTTTCAGGTCCGGTGACCCTTCCTCAGAACTGGGTTCTGAGGAAGGGTCACCGGACCAGAAACGTTAACTCTGTTTATTCCTTCACAGATGCTGCTGGACCTGCTGAGCTTTTCCAGCAACTTTGTTTTTGAAGATTTTGAAGGTTCCTCCAACTTCACTATCCAACATGTACATCAAGAACAGAAAATTGTCCAAAAGATTCTTCACAGTTAATTAAATTTAGCTATCATTAGCCTCTACTGTTTGACATGAGACTTTAAAAGTATAACCTTCTGTCCTGTGGTTGATTAGGCTGTATATATCAAGGAAACCCACTGCTTACCTCAGACCTGAGCTGTTGCTGTTCCATGGCAATGATGATGGCCTGAGGATTGGAAGCCATGTTTTCTTCAGATTCTTTAAAACCTGGGGAAGTTCCTACACCTCCACTCACAAAACTAACAATGTTTTCGATGAATGCATGGATTCCAAGAGACTGATTCAAATCAAAATCAGAAGCATTGTACAAGTGGGAAGAACCGTAGAGCCAATCTCTGCTGTGTTTCAGCCGTGCCCAAGTGGCTCTCAGTGAATCTGTTGGGCTATAAGGAGGTCCTGTGGAGTATGAAATGATAGAAATAAGACTAAGTTCATACAGAAGTCTTCATGAACAAATACAATCAAAATCTTTAATGCTCTCGTCAATTTATACCATAACAAGCAGACCAAAAAAAAAAGTCATGCAAAAAGCAAATTAAAATAAAAAGACTGCCAGAATCTTACTTCTTTTATTGCAATAACATGATAGTAGGGAGAAAATGGGAATTATTGGCCATCTGTGCCAGTCTTGAAGATTCCTAGCTGACATATTTTTTTGGGAAGCACTGTTGTATAAGCACATAGCAAACCTAAACAAAACACAAGGGAACTTCCAGAATTAAAACTGGTTTGTATACTGATACAGGTAAACAATAACTGTAACATGTAGTCATTACATTGCTTAAGCTGTGACTTTCTGCTGAGGCAAAGCAGCACCGCCATAAAAATCCATCCAACCTACTGGTCTCACAATTATGGTGCATAACAGATGGGACAAACCAATGCTGCTATGATTAAGGGACAGTGTATACCGTACATGGCGTAATATATATATATAGGCAAGCTTAAAGCTTTAAAAAGGTTAAACATGCCATCATTTACTTGCTTGTAGCTCCTCTTGTTTCTGGGACTCAACTGGCCAACAAGGAGTAAACACACTACCACATAAAATCAGAAGACAAAAGGAGACATTTGATACAACACATGCTTGGAAAGTTTGTGTGTGAAGCAGCTGAGTGCTTTGGGCATTATATAGCCATAAGAAAGTCTGTTCAGCCATTAGAAGATTGCACACAAACAGTTCAATCTAACTGGAGAAATGTTACTGCCATACAAAGCAGACAAATTTTTCCTCAGACAAATTTTATACTGATTATTCTTGCTTAGCTAATATAATGCATCAAATAATTTTAAGATATATGAAAATATCGTTGACCTAAATTTAAGCTTTACTGCAGTGAGGTGTTTACCAGTTTACATTACTCTTTCACATTATGCACAAAGTAAATCCTCTAATTTCCTGTTTTTCCCCAAAAACAAACCTATTGTTGGACACAGATATGCAGAGTCAAGGCAGATGACGGTACTGGTACATTTGCTGCAAGTTTGAATAAAACGTATGTTTGAAATTAACCATGGAATAGGAGAAAAATCCTCCAATTGCTTCATGTCTGGCACCAAAATTTAAAAATTAAGATTATAAAACTAAAACTTTACAACAATGCTTAGAAAAATTAACAGAAATAAACAATGCCAGTTCTGGTTAAAAATTGATACATTTTCCACAACAGCCCGTTTCAGCATTACATTCACATCTAAATTTCAAAAGCAGCAGAGATCTACACAAGGCTTACCTCGTTTTCTCTGAGCTGATGCTAAATCTAAGTCCACATCTACGTGTCTTCTGGAGTTCTTTTAAAAATAAAATCGAACAATAAATTAAATGCACAAGTCATTAACAACCAAAAAGGCAAATTTTATTTCAGTTTAAAAATAGAGGTTACCAACAAATATATCTTTTAGCTTCTGACCATTACTTTTGAGTTTACTCATGTCCGAATGGCTAAATTCAAGGAACCACTGAAAAATATTATAATTGTCAGAGCTAATTGTCCATTTTGATGCACAAACATAAGTGCTGACTAAGTGATTGGTAATTAAAATCTTAACTAAGCCGATTAAAATGTTAATCTTTAATTTTGGTTTTAATTGCATACTAACTCAATACAATCACAGTATTGTTTGCTTCAAATTTATTACTAATGTTGCCATCCAAAAACAGTGACTACACAAAATCTGTTTTCCTAATTCACAGAATCCCTACAGTGTGGAAGCAGGCTATTCCGTCTATCAAGTCCATACCGCCCCTCTGAACAGCATCCCACCTAGACCCCTACCCTATAACCCTGCATTTCCCATGGCTAATCCACCCAACTTACACACCCCTGGACACTAAGGGCAATTTAGTATGGCCAATCTACCTAACCTGGGCATCTTTGGACTGTGGGAGGAAACCGAAGCACCCAAAGGAAACCCAAACAGGCACGGGGAGAATGTGCAAACTCCACACAGTCACCCAAGGCTGGAATCAAACCTGGGCCCCTGGCGCTGTGAGGCAGCAGTGCTAACCACTGAGCCACCGTGCTGCCCAATACAATTCTGGAGTCTCACAAATTTTCTATACTTTAAATGCAGCTGTATGCTTAATAAGGACTACTCTCTTTTCACTCCAAGTACATGCCTAACCTGATCAATCTCTTATCAGAAAATCCCTCCTTATTCTAATCAACCGAGTGAATTTTCTCTGACTGCCCCAATGTCATATCATTCCTTACATAAAAGGTGACCAAAACTGTTCTCAGCATTCCAGGTCTGATTACTGCCTTCCCTTTTTGCAAGATCTCCCTATTTTTATAGTCCATACCCTTTCAAATAAAAAAAACCAACCGTGCATTTGTCTTCCCTATTACCCACTGAACTTGAATGCTAGTTTTTTGCAATTCATATACAAGGATCCCAAATCCCTCTGTGCTGCAGCTCTCTGAAGTCTTTCTTTCTTTAAATAATATTCAGCTCTTCCACTCTTTCTGCCAAAATGCATAACCTTGCATATTCCAATAATTTGTTCCATCTTCCAATTTTTTGCTTACTCACTTAACCTGTCTATATCCCTCTATAAAATCCATGCGTCATCCTCACTACTTGCTTTCCCACTTATTTCTGTGTGATGTTGGTTCTCCCTTATCTATTCTGTTTGTTAGCTCCTCAGAACTGTAATACATTTGTCAGGTACATCTTCCCCTTCATGAGGTGATGACAACTGCTTGATTGTATCTTGCATTTCTAAATGGTTTGCTTGTACATCCTTTATAACACTCTGGTAGTGTATTACCACCAATCCAATGTGCTTTGATTTTGCACACTAACCGCTCACATAAGATTTGTAAGATCTTTCTGAAAATACAAATACACCACATCCAATGATGCTCCCTCATCTATTCTACTACCTTTGTCCTCATAAATCCTCCACAGTTTGTCAAACATGATACCCCTTTCTTAATTCCATTAGTTAAAGTTAATTTCACCAAAACTTTGAAATCACACCGTTCTATTTAGTCCAGTCTTACAGCCTAATCATAAAAGGAAATTACCAAGTGTCTATGGTATACCATAACAAGTGTGATCATAGCAGATCTTCTCTTTTTGCAACTTGTCAGTATTTTATTCTCAACTGCAAAGTTGGACAGTACTAAGCTGAGGTTGAATATCTCCTCAGACTGAGGTAATACATTAAGTCACAAATCTCACTCATTTCTCAATGAACAATATCAGCTAAATTCTGATCTATCTGCCCACTTGCTTGACATCAGTGCATGACGCATGATAGGGGGAAAGGAAATTTAAAATAACTTGAAAAAACAAAGTTCACACTTCTGCAGGGAAAATATCAGTCAACATAACTTCTAATATTAACATGATGTGAAGTGGTAGTGTTGGACTAGGTTGGACAAGGTGAAAAATCACACGACATCAAGTTATAGCCCAACAGGTTTATTTGAACACACAAACTTTCAGAGCATTACACCTGAGGAAGGGGCAACGCTCCAAAAGCTTGTGTATTGTGTGATTTTTGACCTAATATTAACAAGAATTAAAAGAAGTTAATCTCCAGAAAAATTAATACTGGTTCATCGAAAGCCCTGCCAAAACCCATCAAAAACTGACCTGACTGCAGTTAGATATAATTTTTCTCAAATCTTGGGCTCTGGCTCGTAACTCTTGCACAACGCTGCACTAAGTCAATCAACTGAATAATTAAACTGGCGTTTCAGCAGAAACAAGTAGAAAGGCATTAAACCTTGCTGAATTTCAAAAGTCAGCGAGTAGCATCTACATGTGCTGGGGCATTCACTGCTTCAAATACCCCATTAATAAGAACAAGAGAAACAGGGGCAGGAGTAAGCATTTCAGCTTCTTGAGGCTCCAGTATTCTGCAAGATCGTGGCTGATTTGCCTCAGGCCACAACTAGTCTTTCATGCTAGCTCCTCACAGATCTCAATGCAGGAGCAAATTACTGTAGGTGTGAGAATTTGAACTGAAACAAAAAGTGCTGGAGATCATAGTGGTCAGGCAGCATCCACGGAGAGAATGCAGGCTCTGCTGAGGAGTCATCTAGACGCGAAATGTTAGCTTGCTTTTCTTTCACAGATGCTTCCTGACCCGCTGAGATCTCCAGCACTTTTCTTTTCATCTCACAGACTTCAACTCACTGATATTCCAAAAATCTACCTACTCCTCTTTAAACACTTTCAATGATCTGAAATTTATCTGCATTTCAGTTTTAAATGAGTGTCCCGTTATTCTGTAACCCGTGTCCCATAGTTCAAGATTCTCCTGTTGATGGAATTCTTCTCAGCATCTACCCTGTCAAGCCACTCTCAGAATCTTGTATGTCTCAATAATCTTATTTTAAACCCTGATGTTTAGCCATTCTGATAGGTCACCTTCACTCCGAGGATCAGTTCAGTTAATCTACTTTGAACTGCCTCCAATGCTAATACACCGTCACTTTTTTATAAAATGTGGACCAAAACTGCATACAGTAGCCCAGATGCAGTGTCACCAACTCTCATAGTCGTAACAAGACTTTAAGACTTTTAAACTCCAGCCCCGGAGCAATAAAGGCCAAAATTCCATTCACTGCCTTAATTATTTGCACGTACTTGCACGTTAATGATTTGTGTTTCATACACATGAACACCCAGATCCATTTGAACTGCACTTTTTGGAGTGTCTCTCCATTTAAATGATGGTTTGCTTTTTGATTGTTCCTCGTGCCATGACTTTATACTTGCCTCCATTAAAATCCATCTGTCAATTTTTTTGACAACATGCCCTCACACCTGTTCTTGTACCTTAAGCAAATTTGGATACATTACACTTTGTCCCATCTTCCAAGACATTAATATAGACATTTTAGAAAGATGCAAGTCTTTGGAACAACACATTAACGCCAACTCTATGTCTTGTGTCTCATCCAATCCTCGATCTGTGATAAATCATTACCTCCGATACCGTGAGGGAGGCAATGGACTAGTGGTATTATCGCTGGACTGTTAATCCAGAGACCTGGGTTCAAATTCCACCACAGCAGATGGTGGAATTTGAATTCAATAAATATCTGGAATTAACAATCTAATGATGACTGTGAATCCATTGTCGATTGTCAGGAAAATCCCATCTGGTTCACTAATGTCCTTTAGGGAAGGAAACTGCGATCCTTACCTGGTCTGGCTTACATGTGACTCCAGAACCCAGCGATGTGGTTGACTCTTAACTGCCTTCTAGGCAGTTAGGGATAGGCAATAAATGCTGGTCCATGCAGTGCCACCCTCGTCCCGTGAATGATTAAAAAAAATGAGCTCGTATCTTGTACAACAAACATTTAGGTGGCACTTTACCAGATGACTTTTGGAAATCCAAATACATTACTAACATTAACTCTGCTTGTTAAACCTTCAAAACAACTCCAGCAAGTTTGTCAAACATAATTTCCTTTCCACAAAATCATATTGGTTCTTCTACTAACCTTCAATAACTGGCTTTCGATAATGGAACACATTTATTCCTGATTCAGTGTAAAAACCAGCAGATACTCCAGTATAAAGTTACAGATACAACACATTTGCTGTTTAAAATTCCACAAGGTTTAGCCCTGATGTAGGTTTGTAGGCCTCTTTGAAAGCTTGCAGTACATGTGTACAAGAGCTCCTGACTACAGCCAGAGGTCTAAAGATTGAAAGCCAAAGGCTGTTACCCTTACCCGGATTTGAGATTGGTGTTATGGATTCAGCAGTTTGTACATTTCAGCTACATCGTCTTTAGCAAAAGAAATAGGTTTTATGCATTGGTCTATAGGAATGTTGAGGTGGAGAGGTTTACTAAAGACCTTGGTGGAGCTGAATCTTGCTAAATACCCTGGTTCCTCCTCATTCCAGCAGTTTGCCCTGCTTGGATTCCTATATTCTCCTAGTCATGTTCGTATGCCAAGGAAAAACCTATCAGCCCAATTATGTCTGGAAGTAACTTCTTTCAGCACAATATGCCATTCCACACCTAGTAGAGTGCCAAAACTTTGAACAAGTTTATGAGATCTAAAACAAAAAGTACACAACTGTACCAGCAGCCAGAAGAAATAATCCAGAGACTAATTTATAAGCATTTAATGAAGCTATTAGAGTGCTAGCTGGAGGCCTTCCATGCTAATAGGCATTCAACTGTACAAGGTTGAGACCAGGCATGGCCATTTCAAAATGCAGTGGTGACTAACCATCAATGTTATACAGTGATACCATCATGGTCTGGCTGATCTGTATGCTACCCAGAGTCACACATGGATGCCATTTTGAGA